AATAGCAAGCTGCAAGCTCTTAAATGTTAAGGCTCTGGTTCAGCAAATATTTAAACACCTGAGCAGGCCATCTGAGCTCAGTTAAGTGCTTTGCTCAAGGCTCAGGTCCTGAAAAACTGGTAGTGACCCTGTATTTGTCTGTATAATTTTATTAGGATGTTACAGGCTTTTAAATAATAAATTCTGGATGACAGGAAACATCACTTACAGTGGCTCTAGCACTGTGTTCTGGATGACAGGAAACATCACTTACAGTGGCTCTAGCACTGTGTTCTGGATGACAGGAAACATCACTTACAGTGGCTCTAGCACTGTGTTCTGGATGACAGGAAACATCACTTACAGTGGCTCTAGCACTGTGGGTTGTGAATTTTTAGGTTCTCTCTCACACACATGCGCGCACACGCACACACACACACACAGAGCAACAACATGGTCTGAGCCCATTACCTTCCTGACTGTCACTACAACCGTCTTCATCCCCTAACACCAATTATCAGATGCTCACATCATGGACTGATTCCAGCTCCTCAGGCTGGGGTAGCTGCATGCTGCCGGTGAACATGTCAGTCACCTGGGCGTATTTTCAGAGGCAAGCACTCCTAGTCTAGATTGCAGCCAACAGACACATCCTAGAGTCCTCCACACACACGGTGCTCAGATCTCTCCTCAGCAAGGCGAGATGCAAGGAGGAAGAAGGAAGCTGTACACATGCACTGGACTAAGTGTATCCAGTCGGAACCCGGTCTCCCGCCTGCGGTGAATCACACCCGACAGACTTCTTTCAACAGTTTTCAGCCAATGAGGGGAAAGGGATGCTGGGGAGGCGGGGCTAATCAAACGGTCACTCACTTTTCTTTCCATAGGGCTTCTTCTTCTTCTTCGGCACCTCCTTGACCTTCACTGGTGTTGTGGGCTCTGCCGTCAGGACAAGAAGGAAATTAAAGCCGGGCTCCATTACTAGCAGTTAACTGGGATGTCAAGTTACAAGGCAGGTACAAGACTCACATTCACCAGCCCACCCCCCCTCTCCCAGAGCCAGCCTGCCACAAAAGCAGGTGCTGCAGGTGAGTGGATGCGAGGGTCCAGGGGAAAAGCCCTGAGCATATCAGGCTGGGTGTAACTGGGGGCCCAGTGGTATAGCTGGGGAGATGGACGGCACAGGGAGGCGGCTAGCAATTCTAGGATGGAAGGAAGGAATCGGAGGTGTAGTGGTAGCAGCCCCTGCTGGTTGAAGAGAGGAGTGATATTGGTGTGAGGTTCAATCTTATTCTAGAGATGGAGGACATCAGGAAATTGCAGGGTCTGGAAAAGAGAGGGGGCAGAGCTGTATCTGCTAGAAGGTAAGGCTGAACTTGAAGGAAAGAGGGAGAGAGAGAGCGCACAGCTAGAAGGGGCATGAAAAGTGCTTGCGTGATGCTCTATTTCAGCAGGCACAATCCCCATTGGTTGATGGGATGGGAAACAAAGATTAAAATCCTCCTTAACCTGCCGCTCCTCTCCTCCTCTTCACCCCACAGCTCTGGTTCCTTTGGCCAGCCGGTGAGCCAGCCTGGGTGAGGGGTGCTTGGAGTCCATGAGGAACTAGAGACAGTTTCGCTTTCCCACAAGTCACAGAAGAACAGGACATGCAAAGCAGCGGCTCAGAAACTTGCCACCAAATTCAGCGTCACCACGACTAAGGCACAAAAACTTGGGTTTACCAACCTGGGGCCACTGGCGGCTGCAGCTGGTAGCCCGTCAGCTCACACCAGCCTACAGCATAGATATCTGGGGACTCACAGTCCACCCACTGGTCATACTCGCTGTCCCAGCCATCAAAGTGGATGCTCAGGAGACGGTGGACCACACGCTTCACCGTGGCCACGCAGATGAGTCGGGGCTCCATCAAGTCCACTGCTTCCAGCTTCATGCCAGCCTTGAAGCCATGGTTTGGGCAGTCCTGGGAAAAGGAAAAACCCAACCCAGTCACAGTCAGCCCAATATCAAGCCCTAATGTAAATACATCAGTAGGGTTACGCAACTGCCCGTTGCTCAGGAAAAGGAGACCACACACAGACACGCCTCTTTGGTCTCTCTCAACAAAGTCCATTTCATGATACCTATTGGGGACTTCAGCTATCCCCATATAAACAGGCCCACATACCCACAAGCCCTGCTGTTCCCTGGTGAAGCTCAGTCTGACCACAGAGAAGTCAGATGCCAAAGCACAGGGTACAGCTTTGTAGGGTCCAAGGAACATTTGACTAAGCCCAGTAAGCCAGCAGAGTCATGGGGACCGAGGCAGGGAGACAGGCATGGCACGATTCCATGCCACCATCATGTCATTTTGCTGGTGTGGGATGAGTTCTGCATGCCAGCCCACAGACGGCTGCATTTCAGTGCAGAGGGTGATCCCAGTATGCACAGTCTGTGATGAGCTTGGAGATCCCTGTGGGCCCTAAAGAAACACAAGTCGCCATAATCCAAAGCCCATGCCATTATGAAACTCAGAGGAAGAAAGCGCCGCCTGCCAGCATCAGCCATCAAGTGCCTCACTCGTGGAGCACACAGGAAAGAGCTCAGGGAACATCTACTGATGGGAATGAAACCTCCCAGGCATTCCCCAATAGTTTCAGCTGCTAGCACTGAACAGCCCAGCTCAGAAACTCCTAGGGTGCGTTTGCCGCTCCCTGCTAGCTGACTCCAAGCTGATGTGCTTCCCTTGCCTACCTCCCAGCTGGCACTCACCATGTTGAAGAGCCGCACTGGCACAGCTTTTGATTTGGTCTTTTCCAGGTAATTTGTCCAATTGAAATTCTTTGCATCGTACCCTGCAAAAGTCGAAAGGTCAAATGGCAGAAGAGCTGGGAGAAGGAGCGAGTGCTAGGAAGGACAGCCGCTCTCAAGACTGCATAACTATCCTCTGACACTTCCTGGACACGGCTCAAAGGAAGAGAAGAGGAACTGCACTGGTCTGCCAACGTGCAGCACTCTGGCTCTCCCTTGCTGAGCCCAGGCTAAGGACAGCATCTAGTAGTGCAACAGCTTTGACATGGGGACAAACATATCCCCCAGGAATAACTCTGAAATTACGCAGCCCCGTCAATCACCACGTGCAAGAGGAAACTGACTTTAAACACGATCTCTCTCCTGCCACTAGGAATGTCAATGGCACTATTGAAAGGAGGGAGAGACCCTTATTTTCTGCATCAGATAACCCAAGGGGTTAAAATCTCCTGGCAGGGACAGAGAAGGCAAACTCAGACCAATTTTATTTCAGATTAGGAGCCATCAAACACCAAACATTCTTTGGAGCAAGGTATGGGAGTTGGGCCAGTTTGACTGGATCAGCTGTTTCAACTTCACCAATCTTGACGCCTCAAAAAAAGAAGCAAGCAGACCTGGGCTTCAATTTTGGTCAGTCTGAGCCACATTTAAGCCATCGCATGCCCCTAGGAGACGGGCAGCCCAGGGACAGAGTTTGGGGTAGGGATGGGAGGTTTCTGAGTTTCACCTTTCGGTGGGGTCAGGTCAATGTTGTTTTTCTGGCAGAAGTTGACAGGGAAGATGGCGTGAGAAGAGGCATGGTAACAGAACCAATCAGAACCATCTGCAGATGTTGCTCCATCAATGCTGATCATGAGATAGCCGTCCAGCAAGACCTGACAACACAGGGGGAGGGTGTGAAAACATCTTAGCTTGCTCCAAAGCCTTTCGTCCTGAAAGATCCCAAAGACTTCGGATAGACAAACCATAGAGGATCTTGCCCCCAACTAGTGAAATGCAGCCACCTCTGGGATGGAGCATAGTAGGGGCTAAACAATGCACAGAAATACTCTCAAATGATGCATCAAAGATATGGGAATGGTAGTTTCTCCAGCTGAAGCTGCAGCAGCAGTTTTAGTCAACAGGACCCAGTGACTTGGAATGAAATTCAACAGGGACAGAGGCTGGATGCTTGTGGAAAGTGCCATAACCTTAAATACTCAGGAGCTCAGTGTTCCATCTCAAAGGCCAGCAGCAGAGAGCCAATTTGTGGCTTTGGGTCACTGAGCTGCTACTGACTCAGAGCAAAGAGCGATACCCTTCAGTCACCAGCACCACTTCCAACTGTGCCTTGGAAGTCCCCAGCCAACCGCCAACCAGGCCTGAGCCTGCTTCGCCTATAAAATACAGCAGGTGAACATGTGTGGGGGTTAACAACACTGCTTAGCCATTCCCACGAGTTCCAGTCCCTCAGAATGGATAGTGTCAGACACGGCTTAAGGAGAACATTTTCTGGACAAACGAAGAGTTCTTTTGTAATCTGTAGTCAACCTTGTGCTTCAACCTCCTTCGCTGCTGCCTCAGCCCCTAAGAGTTCTCCCAACACAGGAGCCCAGACTCCTCTTGCAACCCTGCAATAAATCCCCTCTCTCATCCTGCCCCCGAAGGGCTAAGGATGCAGAGCAGAGGCTGACGTCACAGGACTCGACTGGGTGTTGCTAAGCAATGCAATAGGCTCTGTCCCCTCTCAACCCAAGTTACCTTGCACACAGTGGCCACACAGATGTTGCCCAGATTTAGGGGATCAATAGCTTCCAATTTCATGCCTGCCTCGAACCAGCCGCCCTCAGCAAAGACAGACCGCACCTAAAACAGAGAGAGGGGAAAACACAAACTGGGAGTCCTGTCAGGGCCGCAGCCTATCTCTGAATGCAAAGGGGATTCAAAACCAGGAAGGGTGCAGCAAGGTGGAAGAAGGAGAAGGGAGGGGAAAGGAAAGGAGACCCTAAAGCAGATTAAAAAAAATGACAGACACAATGGGGGGACGGTCACTAATATGATTCAAAAATGGAGGCAAGCCAAACCCAATCCATTGGTGGGAAGAGCCAGCCATGCTCATGCTGTTCCCCACCCAGAGTCAACCGGCCTCCCACAGAGCAAGCCCCTGGCTTCAGCCCAACCTCTATAGCACACAAACCTCTCGCCTGACCTGCGCTCCCTCAGTCAATCCAACCTCATGGAAGCATCGTCTTACCCTGGGATGTAGCCTACTGTCCATTCCCTCTCCCCTCCCCCCCCCATCTAAGTGCAGGACTGCGGCTCCTCACCACTTCCCCAGCCCATCCTCAAGTACCCCCCATTCCAGCTCCAAGCCTCCACAGCCCAACATCAAGCAAAGCCTCAGGGCAAGCAAATCCCCTCATCTCAGCCATGACCAATCCCATCTGCCAGGCTCTAGGGACCAGACATTGCCTCACTCTTGCAAGGTGGTAGAGAGCTCAGCCACTTCAAGTCCAAAGAGCAGTGTTGAAGTGAGGGACGGGTCCCACCATCTCCTGACAAAGCTCCCTGCCCTCATCCACTTTTGACACCGCAGTCACAGAGCCTGAGCTCGCCTACCTTTTTGAAGAGGTATGGGACAGCGTCACAGTAGATCTTCCGGAAGGTGGGATGGTTCGCCATGTCGCTGCGCTTCTCCTCTGCCGGGGGAAGGCAAAGAAGCAGAAATGAGACATCTACTGTAATGGGGGGGAGGGGTCCTGCTAAGTTACCATCTGATCACAGGTCAGCAGCAATAAGAAAAAGGAAGGCACCGGCTCAAGGGACTGGAGAGGGATGTTCAATATTACACAGGGAAAATGGATCAGCCCCTTTGTATTACCATGTCCTTTGGTAAGGGACCCCTTGTTCCTGTAAACTCAAAGGATGGTAGATTTAGCACGGATATAAACTTCTATATACAATAACCAGGCAGGGCATTGTGTTCTGGGAGGTCAGCAACAGAAAGGGAAGGACATTTCTGTTGAACCTGGATTGCTTTTTTAAAGTATAACATGGCATGGTGGCCCCTTTAGGGGCAGGTGCTGCTAGGCTGCCTCTTTAGGAATTGATGGGAAGTGCTGACCCAGGACATAAGATGCCTCTTGGGTCTCTGGACTCCCTGGGAAATTATATTGCCCACAAATTCTTCTCCTTAAAGGGCCAAGCCCCAGAAAAAGGTGACCTAATGTTACCTGCTCTTAAAGGAGCCAGCATGCTTTGTCATATAAAGCTCAATAAATGCATAGCCATCATTAAGCTCTGTAGCTATATGCAGATTAACAAAAGTACAGTGTACCGACACTTCAGGGAAAGAAATTGCCTCTCGAAGAGCTGAATAAGAAATTACACTTGTACCACTGACATGCTGCAGAGCATAATTGCCCAAGTGCATTGCACTGGGCTGTTCGGCCTATGTATCATCTCATAATGCATCCCAGAGAGTAGGTTACACATCTAGACAGAGCCACTGGTCTGCTATGTGATTACATGGTCCCATCTGCAGGACACGGGGTGGCCTTGTGAGAATCTGAACTATTCCATGAAAATGCAACACTAACATCAACTCTAATCTTGTGTCAGTGTCTCTTTGGGACCATCCAAAAGACAGCAGGCTGAGAGATTCCTGAGAAAGACCCCATGCCAGGTGAATCCATACCTGTCTTCTTGATGTTGTGGCCCACCCTTCGTGACCAGCCCACTGGATGGATCAGAGTGCTCCACATATGGCACCAGAAGTCATCATCGCTATCACCATCCTCATAGAGGAGCCTCAGCCGGCCCCCAATGACTGTGTCCACTACTGCCATACGCGTCCGAGATACATGGTTCTTGTCCACCACCTCCACCCGCATGCCCTGACGGAATGGGTACTTCATATTCTCTGCCATCTGTGAGGACAACAAACAGGACCTCTCAAGCGCCTTTCATCCCCAAATGTTTTACAGAACATGACCCTCTCCACATGCTCACTGATCACTTGGCTGCACGTCAGTGCTGAGAGGAACAGGTACCTCACGGGGGTGACATGGCAGCCATTCTGAGATTGTGCTGCTATACAACTGGTGCTAAGAAGGGTTGATGAATAACCAGTCCCAGTGAAATCCGTGAGATACTTGCGGTTTGGCAGAATGTAACTCCTCCAACCCAAACTGGAGGCTCACACCTCACGTCTGGTGAAAGTGGCCATAAGGTCATTTCTAGCCACCTCTGATCAGAAATTTGTAGTGCGGGCCTGCTGCCAGTGAAGTCAATGGGTAACATTCCCGTCTCTCTCATATTTCACTGCCAACTCCATCTTAATCAGAGGGATTTCACTCCAGAGCTTGTGCTTCCAATGGACCTGACCAATTATCCTATGTAAAAGCATCTTCACTGTAATCCAATCACCTCAGAAATCACAGGAGACCCCATTTAAATGTCCCTGACCACATGTAAGTGAATCCCCTCAAGTTCTCTGTCTGCCATTTCATGGTATTCTTTTCCCCATTAGAAATTTTTACTATCAGCAAAAGAAGCTTTTTCATAAAACTTGCCAGCAGGGGGAGCCTGCCTCCCTCCCTCCACTCTGACTGGAGTTGCATCAACACCACTTCCAATAATTTAAAAAAACCCTGCAGAACGGTGGAGATCTAAATGACTTTTCACACCCAGTGCAATTGACTGTGGGCACTTCAGGAGATCCAGTGAAGCTAGACTAAACAGTTCTGTCTTTCTCTTCTTCCCCAGCATATTGCTGCTGTGCTCCCAAAAACAAATAAAAAGGTTTCCATTGAAAACAAACTGCTCGTTCATTGAAATACAATTCACATTTAATAGCAGAATTTGGTGTGTGCATGCACAAAAGGTAAAAGAAAAACCCCACCAATATTTTGAGCCTCAACTGTTTAAGAACATCTTTTGAAGCCCAGTCCATGTCCTGAAAGAGAAACAGACTGACTGGATCAAAGGAGCCATACCATTAAATAACGCACGGCCAAAGGAGCATTCTGTTCTACTATTCAATTATGTTAGGCAGCACTTAAACAGTTAAAAGGAAAATGTCTTCCCTCACCCTGCATTGCACTGAACTTGCTCTACTTCTCGGTTAGGGAAGATAGATACTGTGTAATTGAATAGTCATGTAACTGCATGAAATCTTAGCAGTTACACAACTATTCGATAGTCCCCAGAGGCAGGGCTGGCAGCTAGTGCACTCCTGGCCCTATTGCTGGGGAGCCCCCTGCTACCCTACTGTGCTGCCTCTCTATCAGAGGCAGCAGTGCGGGATGGCAGGCAGGAGCTGGTCCGCAAGGGGAGCCAGTTTGAAAAACAGCTCCCCATGCAGACAGGCTGCCTTCTGCCCCAATATAGAGGCAGCAGCATGGGGTAGCAGCAGCCCCTGTCTGCGCGGGGTCTGAACTCCCTGCGGACAAAGGCAGCTCCACAGCAGCAGCCCGTCTGCAGGGAGCTTGGACCCTCTGCGGAGAGGGACTGCTGCTGCGGAGCAGCCTCCCTGGCCCACAACCCCATGCTGCTGCCTCCGGGGAGCTGATGCTGGGGTGAACCGCGTTTTAACCCAGCTCCCCCCAGCACTAGCCTCCCCCCACACTCCCTGCTGCTTATGAAGGAGGCAGGCAGGTCTGCAGATCCAGCATGCGTGGTGAGCCTGCTTGAAGGCTGGCTCCTCTGCATATTGGCTCTGGCTGCCCTATCACCCTCCGCGCTGCTGCCTCTATCAGGCTTTTAAGCCAGCTTCTCATGGGCACCAGCTCCCTCCTTGCTGCCTAGGATACAGAAGCAGCAGGGTGGGGTTGCAGAATATGAATGTAGTCAACAAGATTAACCGATAAGACAAGGCTTATCAGTTATTCATGTAGCTGTCTACACACTGACATCCCTACTCTCAGGGCCAAAGAGCAACAGGAGAGGTGAACGGAGATGAACCAAGAGACACACTCCCCCACAGTGCTGTGGCTCCATATGAAAGCTGGATGGACTTTAGAACCTTCCCCTTTACCTTGATGTGGAAATCCACAGGGATGGTCCTGGCTCCCACTAGCCTTTTCATGAGGTACCCCCTCCAGTCTGTGTACTTGGCGTGGATGGCTGTGTAGGCACAAAAGGTAACAGCTCAGGTTACTTGCCTGTTATAGTTAACAATGCATTTAACCCCCTCCTTCTCTCCAGGAACTGCCTGTCTAAATTCCCAATGTTCTTCTGATTCAGATACACCAACGATCACTGGTCTTTCACTCCCACTCATTCAGACACTGCCATGTACCAGCACAATGTGAGGTTTCTGATGAGCTCCAGGAGCTTTGCAACCATGTGGCATAGAAAGCAGAAGAAAATGAGTTCATATTATTCTTTCTATTATTGTTGCACCAAAGAGCCCATTAGAGACCAGAATCCCATTGTGCTTGGTACTGTAAGCACACAGAACAAAAAGGCAGAAGAGTCCTATTTACAATAGTGTCTGGTACAGTTCATGGAGTCTTAACCTTTGCAAAGTACTGTACTCCTTTCAGGTGTCTGATTTGCCTTGCATATCCTTAAGTTCCATCTCGCTTAAAAACAACTTGCTTACAAAATCAGCCATAAAAATACAAGTGTCACAGCCACACTATTACTGACAAATTGTTGACTCTCTCATTTTTACCATATAATTGTAAAATTAGTTGGACTAAACACATTGTACTCATATTTCAGTGCATAAATATACTGAAGCAGTATACACAAGTAATTGGCTGCATGAAATCTGAGTTTGCACTGACTTTACTAGTGCTTTTTATGTGGCCCATTGTAAAATTTAGGCAAATATCTACAAGATGAGTTGATGTACCCTGGAAGACTTCTGTGTACCCCTGGTTGAGAACCACAGCTCTAGTCTGACCTCTTCTATAACACAGGCCATAGCACTTCCACAAAATAATTCCCAGAGCAGATCTTTTAGAAAAAAAATCCAATCTTGCTTTAAAGATGGTCAGAGATGGAGAACAACCCCTTTGGTAAATTAATCCAAAGCCATAGGAGGTAGGGGAGAAGATTGAGATAGGCTGTGGAAAAGGAAATCAACTTGAGTATGAAACTGACATATCTTGACTTAATTTCTATTTAATACCCCCACCCCTTAATACATGATCTTTTTGGTTTAGGAAGGGTGGTCGCAGTTCTTCCCATCATCCTCCTAATCAACCAGAGGGAGCTGTAGAGAGAACAATGCAAGGAGATGCTTTCGGAGAACCAAGGGAAATGGACACTTTATAACAGAAGACAGCAGTGGATCTGCATTCCTGAGTGTTACAAATGTGACATCACAGGAAAGAAACAAATACTGCAACATGTGGAGTTAAAACACTAGCACTTCCTCTCCCAACATGGCACCAAATAGGCACTCACTCTGTGGGGGCACCAGGATTTTGCTGTTGATAGCACACCAGCCAATGGGATGAATGTCCACTGTGCCCAGGTTGCACCAGAAGTCATGGCTGGAATCATTCTCAAAGCCCTCATATCGCAATAGCGCCCTGTATCCTGTAGGAGACAATGAGAGATGAAAGAGATGCATTAAGTCTTGATTGTTTCTCTGCTCTGGTTAGTTTGTTTCCTAAAATGCATTCTCCGGTGCTACATAAATACTAGCTTCAAGTAACTCAAGTGGAGGACTTCCACTTCTCTTGGAATGCTAGCGCACCCTAACAGAGCTTAGCAACACCAAGTCAAGCCACAAGCCCTACTGGTTTACCTCTGTTTAGGTTCCATCTATTTCTCCTAAACAATTATTTGCCCTCCTTGGCATTTCCCCCTTTTCAAAGACCCCTGGAAGGCTCTTATAGCCCTGTTAAATTGTCAAATAGCCAGGCTAGATACATTCCGCTCTTTTAAACATTCCTCAATAACTGCCAATTCCTGTTAGTTACTGATAAGCCTCTCAGAAACCTACCTGCAATCTGGATGACAGAGGCGATCCAGTACACCCGGCTGGGGAGTACAGCATCACTATTCAACACCTCCACCTTCATCCCTTTTATCACATCCTCCCATTGCTCAAACAGCGGCACCTGAAAGATTGGGGCAGAAATGA